TTCAGCAGGAATCAGCTGTAAGCTTTTCCCCAGTTCGTAATGCAACGCAAGTGGCAGACGCTTTCCCAACCACCTCCGATCGATCCCTGAGGGAAGACAAACTCACTTGCACGGTACAACTGAGTCGGTTATGAGAGTGTCAGGTCAGTCATTTTAAAGTGTATGCACTTTATTATTGGTCACAATCGTACAGATTTTAATATGGATAGTTGTGATGTCTTCCAGTAACCAAGTCTTGGATGGCTGCACCGTCACGCTTCAGTGGTACTTCCTGTGGCGATCGTGCTCTGTCATTCAAAGTAAAGCAAGTTAATTTTACTGCAGCCACAAGAAACAAAACCCCGTACCTGAAATTACAGCAAAGCATCCTAGAGCATGTAGTTTCTAAGTACTGTCAGGTCAGACAGGCAACAAGACCTATGCTTTCTTCATCAGCAAGAAAACAGTGGCCATCTGACAGAGCATTCAAGTTCTGTAGCTAAGATCTGCTTGCCCACAGTTCTGGATCCAAGCAGCTAATGGTTAGCAGAGTCTTTTGTTTTATTTCTAAAAGCAGCAGCAGACTGGTTTTTATTGCCCCAAGCAATCTCCCAAGCCACCTTAGACCCACTCAGCCGTGCTTTTACTTACTCAGGTGACTGTAGCTCCAGACGTAGCTGATGACAACGTAAGCAGCAAGCACCATGGAGACGCCAGCAATGCCCCCTTTCTTGACGTTGATGTATTTATTGTAGTATCTGTCGTGCCCTGCGTAGGAGAAAAGGTTTTGTAGCAGTCAGAGGGGTTGTGTATTTTTCTGCATCAGAAAGCAGCAGCCCGGTTTTACGGGACTTCAGGAAATTGTTTCTCGTGAAACATCTGAGGGTCTTGGAGGCAAGGCTGAAGGCAGGCAGCCTGTGTGTTAAGGTGAACTCAGGTTAATAGCACTAAGCTGTTAAAGAAAAAAAAAAAGGAAAAAAAAAGCACCATTTCTAATTTTTCCCTAAACATTGTGACTTTCACGAGCTCCATCTGCTTTGGAATTCTCTTGTTCTTTCCTACCAGTGTCTATAGGGTATGTAGACACTTGCAGTTGATATTGTGTTTAAATCTACCTCAACGCCACATCTGCGCCTGTGGCAAAAGGCGTGAGGCGACACTTCTCCCAGGTGGTCTCTAAAAGCCCTGGGTCCCTTCTTACTGTCTCCAGGGCCCAGCTGCTTCTTTAAATTGCCTTGCCATGTTGGGGAACCTCAAGATTTTCAGCAAATAATAGGCTCAGGAGTCAGGTCAACCTATTTCCTCTTTACACAAGAAGGAATACCGGAACACAAACCTCCGGTAGGTAAAGCCCATGCGAGAAACACGTTTACAAACGGGAGAACGAGCCGCTACAGGCGTCGCTGTGCTGGGAGAGCAGAACTCGCCATGGCGCAGCCCTTGGGCTGCCGGATGCCCCCGCCGCAGCCAACATCCCCTCCAGCAGGCAGAGAGGCTTGGGCACGGACGTGCCTAGCTCGGTCAGGAGAAGGGACCCTCGGAGTCTTGGCCGGCCCAGGGGGCGCGGAGCCGTTTGCGCAGGGTGGGCAGCCCCGCCCCGGGCCCCCCTCACCTCTTCGCAGGGCCCCCACGATGCCGCCGG